CTAGCCCATTTTCTGCTGTCCCAGCACTAGTCCTGGAAGAAAGCCATTTCCTCAAGGTGCTTTGACCTTTCCCTCTTATTTTGTGGCCATTTTGTGTCTGATAGAGAATGACATTTAAGAACTAAGACCTGGCATTAGATAGGTTTACTGCTGGCTGGGGTCATTCATTGCTGTCAGATTCTTTCAGTGGATGGAATGAGGCTGTCTGTGTGTGTCTCCCTGTACATATGTGCCTGTGTAGTTGCATATAAAAATGCAGGGATGGTGCTGATGTTTAGAGTCTGCGGTTGTACCTGTGGCTGACGTTGGCTACAGCAATGGGGTGAGATCCCAAGAAAAACCAACCCGGATGAAGTTTGGAAGCACCTTGGTGCACAGGCATCCTCACGTGCTGTCCCTTCCCATGACAGTTCACACAGAGCACACTCTTTCCTCAGCAACAAAAGTGCAGTGACACATAGAGATGATGTGTGTGCCCAGAGAAGCCCTGGCCTCCGACATTAGTTGGCGTCTGGCCCGTTAGAGACTTTCTTGCCTCTCAAGGTTCTGGAATCAAGAGTCTTTAAAGGAAAGCATGTATCTAGCTTGGATCATGATGCTTGTGCTATTTAGACCTAGTAATGAGCTCAAAATCCAGCTGTCTGCCAAGAGCATATCCTGTGTAGAGACATTACTTGTAACCCTTCCCCATATCCTCCCGGTCAAGTCCAGGCTCCAACCCCAGTGGAATCTGCCTGGCTTTTTCCCAGCCTGCTCCTCCCCCATATCTGCAGCTTCTTTTGACAGTGAAAACCTGGCTCAAGCTCTCCATCTCCTCATTGTAACCCTAGCCATAACCTCTGCCCTGGCCTTGGCCTAATCCTAACTGTACCCTTGACCCTAACCCTACTCTAACACTAGCCAGCCATAAATCTAGCCTTAAGCCTAACCGTAACCCTAACATAATTGGTGAGTACCCAGTATCTTCACTCTCGTGTTCCCTACTCTGAAGATGGGTGATCATATTCCTTCTCACTGCCCTGTTTGTTTGGCCTGTTTAAGGTGCAGTTCCTCTCAGATGGATTTCACTAAGGAGTGCCCTTGTCCCTGGCAACTTTGGAAGGCAGCCAAAGACATCAGGACTTGGCACAGGAAGTATTCTGTTGGGCAGCTCTGGAGCTGCCAAGACCCTTCATGATTGACTCAAGTTGGGCCCACTTAGCCAGAACCTTTCACTTCTGTTATGGTCACTTGCTGGGTGGGGGCCATCATGGAAAAGTGCAGGAAAAGCAGTTTTTCAAGGTTGAGACAGATACCACAAAGTCTACGGCTGCAGATTTTCTGCCTGCCTCCCATCTAGCAGCTGAAGCAACGAACCTTTTCTCTAAAGGGTTCTCAGCAGTCCACCTGGGTCTCATATAGCCTTACTCGCTCAGTTCCTCCCCAGCACTGCTGTGGCTTTTACATGGAATTTTGCAGAAATGGCAAGGAAAGGGAGCATAGTTCATTCTGTTAGGTAATGTAAAAGCTGTAATTCCCGCTTTCACACATTTTGGATGGACATTTCCTAACTGAAGCACTTACTTGTAGAGAACCAGCTTAACCTACGAATTTTAATTAAATGAAGAAGGTCATTTTTGCCCCCCCCCTTTGACACAAGGAAACTGTTTCCCAATCTCGCTCAGCTATGTCAGCTATGTCAAATTACCTATGTTGATAATTTGAAGGTTAACACACATAAATATCTTTTCTTGGTACTCTGGATTCACAGTTTACTGTCTACTCAGGTTTTTATGTTTTTCCTGCATTTTCATGTCTTGCTATTTCATTTTTAAAAGGAGTTTAAAAATCTTAATGTTGAGCTCAAAATTGCCTTGGATCACCAAATTTGTAAAGAATGAAGCTGCCAGGGAAGCTGTATCAGGAAAGACTTTTTATTTTACATTGCTCATCTTGTGAGGGATGTGCTGTTTTCCTGACACTGTTTGTGTCAGGAAATTGCAAAGCAAGTGAGCAGGAACCATCCAGAAGCAAATCCTAAGGTCCTTCTCCCGGAACAAGCAGAGGGAAGCAGCTACATGTAGGATCAGTAGGGGTCTTAGAAAAACCCACAGTTGTGCAAGACTGTAAGATTTAAAGCATGAATTTATCTACAAAGGATTGCTTTGTAGTTCTTATGACACAGAAAGTCAAGCTTGCTACATCAGAGACATGGAGGAAAAAAAAAGTCCAAGGGGCTGAAATAGGAAAGACTGGTGAGTAAATACAAAATAAAGTTGTTCAGGTTAGAATCTAATGTTTTTGCTTTCAAAATGACTCATTAGGGGGGATTGCATTTTTCCCATTCCATAGATATTGTTAAAAGGATAGACTCTGTTTTCTATTGATTTCTAGCACCCTGTTATTCTTTGTAAATCAGATTGAGGTTTTGAATTTGGTGTTGTATTTGCAAGTGGCAAAAATGACGGGCTCCCTGTTTTGTATTCATATTTGCACACATTAACTGTCTGATGTTCCCGTTGTATTTTATAGTAGATTGTTGGAGACTTGAATAAATGGTTCAGGAAAAACACTTTAGACAAATTACAAATTTTCAGTTCTTTAGCTTTCTGCTTAGCCGTGTCAGCTTACCTTGCAAGTTCATTCCTTTTGATCTGGGTTGGATATTCAAAACCTAGTGCAAAAATTACCTGCCACGGCTACCACTACCTACTCTATTTCTGTCAAATAAATTATTTAAGGTTTCAATTTGAAAAGCAGGTGATATATTGACAAGGAGAGCTTCAAAGGTAAAGCTGGGCTTTATTTTATTTGAGATGTGGGAAGAAAGGGAGAAAGTGCCCCAATCCATTGGTTCACTCCTCACCAGCAACATCTGATACTAGGCCAGGCCACAGGCTAGACCCAGTTTGAGTCTCTCTCATGGGTGGCAGGGAGTCAAGAGCCAGACCCAGCTATCAGACACAGGCTGTGGATGTCCTAAGTGGTGTGGTAACCACTAAGCCAAATACCTACCCCTGTACAGCTGTTTTGATGTGGTCACGTGTGAGTCGTCTCTTAAGTTGTCGTAAGATTAGAGGATTTATCATTGCTGTGCACTTGTGATAACCATCGATCATATTCTAGAAGGTGATTAAGGTGATTGGAACTAATTTCAAAGTGCTTGGGTTTTCAGCCAGGCGTTATTTAGATTGAGTTATCGTAACTCTTTGATTAAAGGTACCAGGACCTGTCTTGAAACAAGACTCATTCAATCTGCTATGTGCCTCTCTGGTTCCAAGTTGCATGTTGATAACTTCATTGTGTATGCTTTTTCTTGGATAGGAGGACATTTTCTTTTTCTTTCAAAAGTGACAAACTAGCAACAAATGACAATAGCCAAATTCCAGAAGCATTCTCACTTTAAATTCTTTGTCACATCAGAGGACAAAAGGATATTAAATTTTCATTTTTTACAGAATAACTTTTCATGAAAGCAATAACACACTCTCTTCTGTTGCTACAAGTTCGCAATTATTAATATTTAAGTACCAAGACAATAAAGCATCCATTTCTGTAAGCAATATTCACTGTATTTTTTTTACCATGAAATATTGATGTGGGTAAGTATAAAATGTAGAATTTCTATTTTTTAGTTTTCTGGTGTAATAGTTTCTTATGCTCTTTATAGATTCTGGATATTAATCCTCTATTAGTTGCATGATTTGCAAATATTTTCTCCCATTTTGTCAGTGACCTCTTCAGTTTACTGTTTTTTTTACAGTGCAGTCTTAGTTTGATGCAATTCCATTTGTTTTTTTTTTTTTTGCTGTAATTACTTGTGCTTCTGGAAGCAAGTTTTAATGCACTGAGCAGCTTGTCGTTGTCCCAACCTAGACAGTAAGAAAGGCTACTGAGATGGACAGAGTGTGATTGATGGTGTCGCTATTTCACATTGCTTCTTTAGTAACTGAGATATGCAGAAATCTTTTTCTTAAAAAATTTTTGTTTGTATACTTGAAAGGCATAGTGACACAGAGAGAGAGACAGAGACACAGAAGACAGAGAGAAGGAGAGAGATCTTCCATCTGCTCTTTCACTCACCAGGTGGCTGCAATAGCCTGAACTGAGCCCAGAGTTAGGAACCAGGAACACCACTGTGTCAAGCATGTGGGTGGCAGAGAGCCAAACACTTAGGGCATCATCTGCATTTAAAGCTCGAAGTAGCACAGGGTAGAGTGCCTCAAAGCTGACACTGTAGTATGGATGTGAGCGCCTCTAACAGTGACCTAACCCACTATCCCATGACACTTACCCCAGAAGTCTTTTCTTGAATTGTTGATGAGTTGTCCCTCTGAGGCCTGTGGGGTTCCAGGGTCGCTGTGATGCCAGAATCCTTTTTCAGTCTGCCTATCTTATATGGTCATTTTGTATTTTCTGGTTTTGTTTTGGTTTTCTTTTCGCTTTTCCCTTATGCAATTTTAATGTCACCTTGTTTACCTACCACTACTCTGCAATATGCCATTTATGGATAATGGGAATTGTCCCTATTTCAACAACATGATTTGCTGCCTTAACAGAGATTACATTTCTGTTGTCTGAATGTGTGTGGCTTTCAAAGGAGAATTATGATTCCATATACACTCATTTTTTTTTCAGAAATGAAATATTATAGCCACCGGAAAATGGCTATTATATTTCATGAACATCATCTGGAGGAGCGTACCCATTAGTGCTGCTTCATACAGTATTCGCCTTTGGTATGAGTTATATGGAGCACAGCAAGAATGTGCTAAATGGGTGTCTTCATTCGGCAGCTTCAGCTTAGTGCTGTTATCATGCATTTTGTGCATTAAAGTGGGATCATTTTTTTAAGATTATTTTTGTGGAATCCTAAAGGAAGTCTAAAAACAAATGGATGAGAACTACACTCAATAATATCTGCTCTTAGAAAATAAACTGCTTCTTCTGGAATTCTCCATTCTCCCTAGTTCTTAGTAGTAATACACACTTCACATTGCTTTTCTATGCTTGTTTTCTAGGTATAGAGGCAAAACATACAGGGCTGTGGTGAAGATTGTACGAACATCTGACCAAGTAGCCAATTTTTGCCGACGAGTTTGTGCCAAGCTAGAGTGCTGTCCAAACTTATTTAGTCCTGTGCTGGTTTCTGAAAACTGCCCTGAGAATTGCTCCATCCATACCAAAACAAAATACAGTGAGTACAAATAATGAAAAAAAGAAAAACATGTTTTAGACCATGGTGGGGTTTGAACCATGGGTTATGTTTTATAGTTTTCTGGACAGTTTATGCTGTGCAATGTTTCCATAAGGTTTGCTGCCTGACACACATAGAAAGGACAGGGATGATTAAAAAATGGAGGAGTTATCATTGGTAGGCTTTGGAAAACATGAAAACGTGTGTACTGACATGACTGGTAGTAGATTTCATTGATTTGATAACTGTGTGGCTGAAAGACAAACACAGCAAAACTGATAGTGATGGTGGGTTGCTTTTCGGAGTTAACTTTTTTGGTGGTTACACTGGGAGATTGTATGGATCCTTTCATGACCTACTTTGCACAGGGGCTGCATCTTGTTATAGCCTGTATCTCCTCTGCTTTGATGCATGCCTCGTCCCTCTGTTGAGCAGAGTAACTGGGGGGTTCTGAAGGAACTGTTTCTTGGCTGCCAAGTGCTTTCGCTGTCCACTGGGAAACGCGATGAAGTTCTTGCCTGTTACCATTTTCTGACCATTCACTTTTACCCTTGCCTCTTTCACCAGCTCTCCTCAAATCAGCCTTTTAGAAGGTTGATGAGAGCATTGGACTCTCCAGAGCAGGTGTACTCACTGAAATTATAGAGCAGCTGCTGTGTGGGGTTTCAGTGTCATCCTTATGACCCAAATGGAAGTAAGATGTGTAGGAATTGGATAATGTCAGACCCATGAGAGACCTATACTAGTTAGTTTTGACAGTCTCACTTTGAAGATTAGAAAATTGAGGTACAGAGAGATGAGGTGAGGTGCTGGGAAGCTAGGTGCACAGCAGCATTGTGATTAACCTGATCTTATGCCACTGCACCATGGGACAGCGGCCAAGACAAAGCCGGGAACTAGGAGCTTCTTCTGGGTATTCTGTAGGGGATGCAGTGGCCCAAATACTTGGGCCAACTTTCTCTGCCTTTCCCAGGCCATTAGTATGGAGCGAGATTGGAAATGGAGCTGCCAAGATAGGAGCCAACACTCAAACAGGATGTCATTTTGGCTAAGCAGCAGTTTTACCTTCTACTCCACAACACTGGTCCCTTAAAAGTTTTTCATCCTCTTTCTGTAGCCTACTATTATGGAAAGAGAAAGAAGATCATAAAGCCCCCAATTGGGGAAAGCACCATTGAGAGCAGCCACCCTAAACCAGCCAGACGAAGGAAGCGCCGAAAATCCATTTTTGTGCAGAAGAAACGGAGATCTTCCGCCGTGGACTATACAGCAGGTTCAGGGGAGGTATGCTCTGCCCCGAAGCACATTCCAGTGTGCATCCCTGATGCACGGCCCGGCTAGCAGGTGTCACTGCCTTTCAGTAAGTGCTGCATCACGTTTGCTACAAGATGGTTAGAAACGCAAAATAAGAGGCAGTGTCCCAAGTTGATGATGGCAGAGTTAGCTCTCAGCTGCTTTTGCTGAGAAAGAGCTGCACAGGGATCCTCATCATTCCTGGTACAGTGGGCTTCCCTGAGCCATCCTGGAAGGAAAATGCCAGAATCGGGGCCCAGCCAGTGGCTGGTATTGCCTGTCACTCCAGTGTCTCCACATTAGTCCCTTTTTGCCTGTTGCCTTTAAGCACATTTTCCTTCTTTCCAGGAGAGTGAAGAAGAGGAAGCAGATGCAATGGACGATGACACTGCCAGTGAGGAGACCGGCTCTGAGCTCCGAGATGACCAGACGGACACCTCATCTGCAGAGGTGCCCTCCACCCGACCCCGCAGGGCCATTACCCTGCGGAGCAGCTCAGAGCCTGTGCGCCGGCTCCCAGTGGAACGGGCACGGAGGAGCCGCCAGGGCCCAGCCTCCTCCTCAGCAGAGGAAGGGGAGAAGGGCCTTCCTGCCAAGCCAGAGGGGGCAGAGGTAAAGCATGGGGGGCACAGGGTGTATCACTTGTCTTAAGGGAGAGCATGCAGTATAGTTTAGAGCCAGGATTGGTGTGAGGGACTGTTTAAAATGTCAGGCACAGCAGCAGATGCTCTGGTGACATTTGGGAGTGCCTCACCTGCTGGCAGAGCAGGTTGTGACATGTCAACCTGGGAGCTTGAGGCAGGAATAACATTTCCTTTTCCAGTGGTTTTAACATCATCAGGGATTTCTTCAGAGGTTTCCAAAATGCTGTATCTGCCTGTTTCATCGCTGCCCTTGCCCTTGGATTTGACAGGACCCCTCTGTGATGCCAGGAAATAATGAATGGTTCAGGCCTCCCTAAACCTGCAAGGTGCATGTGATCTTCTGGAGCGGTGCCTGGCACCATCATCACAGGATGAGGGAGGACAGCTGGCTCTCTCGGGCATGCACTGGGCATGCCCCTTAGCTGTTCCTCTGAAAAGTGCTTCCTCCAAAAGCAGGCTCAAGGTTTGCTATGTGGGGATTCAGAAACAGCTGTCCCTGCAGCGTAGTCATTACTAAGGAGAAGTGTAAGACACTCCCTAGAAACTGCAAGTTTCTGCAGTTTGTTCTGGTGCCCAGCAAGAGACCAAAGGAGGCACTCAGTCTGCTGCTGGTCTAAGAACGTGTCCTGGGCCCAGCAGGTGTTAGAAATGAGCCAGCTGACCCTGCAAGTGTGCAGTGACTGTCATCTCCCTGCCTTTCCTCTGCAGGAAACGAAACAAGAGGAGGAAGAGAGACTTGTTCTGGAGAGCAACCCATTAGAATGGACAGTCACAGATGTGGTGAGGTTCATCAAGCTGACAGACTGTGCACCCTTGGCCAAGATATTTCAGGAACAGGTACAGTGGCTTGCTCTGCATTTAGACTGTTTTACATGATGATTCTCTGGATTTTTAATGAATCTCCCTTTCCTACTTGGCTTCTTTGTGATTGCCCAAGAGGGAGTTGATGTTCAAGTGCTGTTGACACCTGAGTGAGGGGGACTTCCCTGGCTTGCTTGGCAATGTGACACCAGGCTCCATATGAAACCCGCACTAAGAGCCTCCAACCGGTTAAGGGTGAAGGAGCCTTGTTCCTGCTCCTCGCTAGCCCCCATGACACTGTTGCAGGGATTGGTGTTTCTCTATTAGGCTTTTGTGATATTTCCAAGATGGGATGGGACCAGGAGAGGATGGGGGATAGGATATGGCTACACCCATGGTTTGCACCAACCTTGGAATGGGAGTGAAAGTCCCAATCTCCTATTTGGCCTTCTAGGATTCCTCATTGTTGGAGGGATTCAGGCACTTGATTACCGCCTAACAAGGTTGGAAGCCAGGGCTGCCTGCTGCACCTTGGCTGGCCTGAATAGGGCTGGGACAGATTCTTCTGGGATGTTTGGCTGTAGTGGAGCCACTGGGGTCTAAAAGATTTGGTTCTTATTAGCTTACCTGTAGGCTGGACCTGTGTCTAGAGAGAGCAGGGTTTGTAGAGGTGGAGTAGTTTTATCAGTGCCCAAAGACTGGTCAGACTGCCAGCTATTTCAGCTCCAAGCCTGGGCATATGAGGCACACAAATTAACAACATGAACAGTGGCCATAGAATTCAATACCCTGACACTGACACAGGTCCCAATGTCCCCCACTGATCTATCTTTTTGCCAACATTCAGAATTTACCTGATTTGTTGATAGATGATATCTATTGTTTGTTTTGCCACACTTCATGGAGAAAATAGGATAGCGGTGTCTTTCTTCTAAAAATACTTTAAAATCTATGGCACTGTAATGGATCAGTGCCATCATGGTTGGTACAATACACAATGTAATGAAACTTATGTAATAAAGCAGCTGAAGTTACTATACTTAGCTAAGATATAAGATACATGATAATGGGATAAGAGGGGGAGAGGGATTTTATTTACATTTTCTCTAAAATTCATATGAAAACATATTTCTCCTCTCTACACACATGCAACTTTGCATCTTTCTTCACTTACCATGTAAAGAAATTCCCATGTTTAAGCCCAGTACTCTTACTAGATTCTAAAAGCTCAACTTACTGAAATTTGTTGCAAAACTCCATAATGTACAATATCTGTCTTTGAAGACTTTGTGCTAAAAATATATTTTTGAAGTAATGAAGGTATATTATTCAGTCTTGTATAAACTGTACAAACTAAGTAGTCTAAAATGGCTGTATTTCAAGTGGTAATAACTTAGGGGAAGGAACAAAGTTTCTGATTTTCCCATGCACTCAGGGAATTTCCTAGTTCTAGTGTTTCCCAAGGCAGTATAGTAGTCACCGTGAAAAGTAAAGGTAATGCAGCCCTCACCATAACATCCCAGCACAGTCATTCTTTAACGATTCAGACGTCTCCTGTGTCCTGGGGGTGAAGTGGCTCCTCTGAGTAACCTCTAGACTCCTTCAGACACCTGATAAATTCATGCTGTAGGGATGAGTGAAGGCCAGAGGCCAAGGTCATCTGTTAGCTTTCTAATGTTCGCTGCGTTTCCTCTCTGGGCAACACTATGAAGCAAACAGGAAGCAGCTCAGTGAGAGCTGAAGAACATGGGCAATGATATGGTGCCTTCATCAGAACTCGCAAACAGGAAAAAAAAATTGTCAGAAATGTTTGAGTTTATTGATGAGCCACATCTCCTACTTGAAAATGAAAACAAGTGGTGGGCATTTGATGCAGCAGTTCAGGTACTTGCTTGGAATGCTCATATACTGTATCAGAATTCTTAGGATCAAATTCTGGCTCTAGTTTCCTGCCAGTATGCATCCATGGAGGCAGTAAGTAATGGCTTAAGTATTTGAGTTCTGCCATCCACATTGGAAACCCAGCTTAAGTTCCCAGATAGATCTTAGCTTTCATCTGGCTCCATCCTAGTTGCTAAGGATGTTTAGGGAGTGAACCAGCAGACAGAAGATTGGTGTGTGTGTGCGTGTGTGTGTGTGTGAGAGAGAGAGAGGGAGAGTCTGCCTTTCAAATGAAATGAGAATAATTAAGTAAAAATTCATAAATAAATAAGTAAGGTGTTGTGTTGAAATGCTATTTAAAGCATTTTTTTCAGCCTGGTGTTTATTGATATGCTGCAAAAACATTGTATCCTCATCCATGACTGATGCTAATAATGCAGACCTTAATATGCTAATGTGCATCTCTTGGTTAAAGTGTTTGTTTAGCAAAATCGATCCAGTCGTGCCGCTAGGTACCTTGTGTCCAAAATATGAATATGCAATTTGGAACCTTATATCAGACTGACTTTTTTAAAAAAAAATTATTTTGTTTCCAGGCTCAAATACTGTATTTTAGCTTAAAAAGATTTTTTTTTCAATTGAGACAAAACAGAGAAAAAATTTTCTCACTTCTGCACTCCAAGTTAGGTACAGGAACTCAAGACCATATGCACCAAGCAGGGTTGTCAGGCTTGTGTTTTAAGCACGGAAGGAAGCAAAGCTGATTTGGGGAGAAGGTGGGAATGCTGCTTGTACCAAGTCTTCCTTTCTTGTATACCTAAGGCCCAGTTGGTAACAATATTGCAGACCTTGTCATGACTTGACACATCCTGATTTCTAAAATATGCCATGCTATTGGCTCATTCCTATTGGTCAAATCAGATCTCCCTCTAGGTGCCTCCTAAATTCAGGGTAAGCTTGATCCTTCCTACTACTCATTTCTCCTTTTAGAGAGAAAAATAGGTAGGCTTCAATTGTTAACAGTCTTATACCTATTTAATTCTGCATTTCACATTGGGCAATTTCACCTGTTGTATTAAAGAAAGCGTTGCCTGTGGGACTGTCTGAAGTGCATGAGTACTTGGATCCTTCTCTGTTCCATCAGACCTCTAATTACTAACTTGCACTAATTTGTTCTCTCATCTTCGAGCCCAAAAGCCACAGCCCTGGGCTGAGAGGCCTCCACTGGGGTCACTGCAGGCATTCTCTGAGCTTGGAGAAGAGCTGGAAGGAGCCTCCAGGCTTTATTCTGCAGTGTGAGAGTGAGATCACAGGGCACAGAGTCACGCTAGCTGTGTGCATACGTGCCTCCAGATGTTGGAAAATCAGAGATGGTTATAATCACTAGGAGCATTTGTAAAATATTGTAACTTCTCATGACTAACATACACTTTTTATTTCTCATATGTCATGACAGCTGCTTAAAATCTATATTCTCTAATTTTATGCAGCAAAATTCACACATCACAAAACTAATGGGAAAATCACCTATTCATTCTCCTTTTTTGAGTCAGTCTGTTCATATGTGGTAAGCAGACTGTCCAAGTTAATAATTGGTTTTAAGTTTACGATTTCAGAATAGCTCATAAGTTTAGGTCAAATTCAGAGTTTTCCTTCCACTAGTAAACTTGGACCAATATACTCCCATGAAAGAACTCTTCAATTCTTAACTGAACTTGCTGTCAAAATCCAATGAATTTTGCCATTTGCTAAGCATAACTTCCATATTGCTTGTTTATCACATTTTATCTTTTTGAAGTTAGTAACCATGTAGAGTTAAACTAGATATAGTCTATCTTTGACATGACCATTCTGAATTCTATAGGAGCACATTTATAAAATTTAATCAGTTGTGATGTCTAGTATGTCATCTGTATAATCCTGGGGAAAAAAATAATAGTAAATTCAGAACAAAACAGAGACATCATTGGGGAGGGATAGTAAGGTGGAACTTATCCCTTGCTCCTCCACATTGATGCTGTCCTGCCTGTTTATCCCAAACTTGCTCTCACGTCCCCATCTCTTTCTGCTACCCTGCTCACTCCTAGGTACAGTGGGTGTAGCTTGCAAAGTCTGCAGCATGAGTGAGCAGGTAGAGCTGGGTGGGGCTGCCAGGACACCATGCCAGTGTCCCTGCAGGTTTCCCACTGTCCTTCCATAGCAGCAGCAGCCTAACAGATGGTAACCCTGGTGGTTTTTGGCAGGTGGAGACCTGACTGTGTCATTGGTAGCATGGTGTTCTCAAAATAGTAAGACCTAGGGCTTCTATTTCACTTGTCACTTGAGTAGTACAGAAAATGGATTGAGAACCCAAAGGTGGCAGCCGCAAACTTTTAGGTGGCTCAGAGGTGGACAAGCTGTGTTTTAACCGCTGCTGTCCTTAGGGTCTTAGTGAATTTACAGATAGAAAACAAGGTGAAAAGTCCTTATAATGAGTCAAGTTAATTTCACATGGCACCCATCTTCTGGGCTGTACTGTCCTATTGATAGGCATCGCCTTGCAGACAAAGCTCACTCCCTTAAGTTCCACACGTTCAAGGGCCTCCACCCGGGATATGATAGGACCCAGGAGAATAGGGATCAAACAGCTCCTCAAGGGAAAGAGTAAAACGTATGAACTGCATGTGTTTCCATTTCACATGGTCCCCGATGGACACTGACACCAAGGAATGTAAACTTTCCCTCTCCCCACCCACATAGCCACTGAACCCTCAGAACGGAGATGCCTTTGAAACGTCAAGGCTCTCACCTTCCTGCTGGCTGTGCAGGAAGAAGTCTGTCTGCAAGGCACTCTCCCATTGAGTTGCCTTTTTGGAGAAGTCTGAAGGCAGGAAGAGAGATTTCTGGGCTGGGGCAAGAAGGGGAGCCTGTTGTGGTATGGTCCAGGCACCCATTTCAGGGCCCCCAGTCATGACATAGTTTTCTGTAACTGGAATGTCTGATCACCTGAATAGCTTTCGTAAATGAAAAAGAAAACTAATGCAGTGTGTCTGGGTAGATGGTATGTACTTGCTTTTGCTGCTGTTTTTGTTGTTGTTAATCTTCCTTTCAACAATGCCATTCTAAATTCTTCAGTGAACACGTTTTTAACCTTGCTCGGTTAGTTGGCTTTTGACGGGCATAGCCCTGCTGTGTAAATAGGTACTACTGAGCCTAGTCTGCTTTGCAGTTCTCATCCATGGTTTCTGAAAGAGAAACCTCAAATGTATGCATGGTGATAAAGTTTTCCACTCTGCCGTCGCCAGTTGGAGGAGGTGTGGGAACGTGCTCTGCTGCTTCTGGTGGAATTATCTTTGCTTTAGATGTTGCTTCCAGATTTCCCACCCTTGCCCTCTTCTTTCTTGCCCTTCAGCAACCATTGTTTGAGCACACGTTTCTTGACCCTTGTTTTGCCTATGTTAGAATGAGTCCCTCTGATGATCAGTGTTGTTTCAGTCTAGAAAGGACTGGTCATTCTGAGAAAGTTCTGATGTGTCTCTAGCTGATTGTGAGAATTCTCATTTCTCTAAGAATTAGGAGTAAGCTCTGTCAGCAAGGAGCTTTGTTCAAAGCAGGCTAAACACAAAGCAGAGGAGAGAGCCCTCAGTTTTAAATGCTCACACACCACAGGGTATGTTGGGCAACACAATTGACAAAGGCATGGACGAGAATGAACAGTGGTGACAAAGCAAAGGTGAAGTTGTAATTTAAGCATAGAAATCAAGAAGACACAGTGATAAAGGAGGCCACTGAAGAGGATGCCATGCGGAGGTCCTCTTGAGTCCAGTAAAAGTGGGTGAAGGGTCTATAGATTGTAGAGAATTAAGTGAGTTAAATCTGAGGCTCCTGGAGCAGGTGCCTGTGAGGATGGGGGTTGGGGGGTAACTACAACAGCAGGGGCACAGAAGGCATAGCCTTTGATGGTGATGACAACACAGGCTAGAGTACTGCATCTTCCTAGAAAATGTCAGCAGGTTTCAGTCCCTGGAGAAGGGATCAAGTCTCTAGTGTGCATTTGTATAAAATAACCCAGGCAGTTCTGGCACACAATCTCCGTTTCTGACTTTACTTCAAGTATGTTCTTTGACTTCTGTGCACTGAGAAAATACATGCATGCCTGTTGTATGCAGAACACTGTACCAGAGACTGGTAGGTACATTTCTGGATGGCTCACAGTCATGGTTTACCCTTTTAGTGCGGTGAGAACTTAACAGTAGTAGTTACTCTGGTTGAGCCTGTATAACTCTCTGCAGGATCAGTTACCTGGCATATTTCAACAGACATGTAGTTAATGTTCCAGAAGAGTTGAACTTTCAAAAGGATGGAAACTGAGTGAGCAGGAGGGCAATTGAGGTCCTGTAGCATCCCAGGAAAGTGATGTTGGCTTCAAAGCTGTGTGACCACAGTATTCCAATCAGGGGACCAGGATGATGTTCCAAGCTTCTGGATGCAGCCTTATCCACACCTGGATCTTGTAGCCATTTGGGGGTATGGATGAGCAAATGGAAGATCTCTGCCTCTCTTTGAGTACCCACCCCACCCCCTGCCAGCTTGCTCTATCAAATAAAAAGAATAAGTTTATTTGTTTACAAAAAAATTTTAGGAGCAGGTGTTTAGTTTTGTAGTTAAGATAGCTGTAATCCACATTACAGTATCTGGATCCAGTTGCCTTTGTCGGCTCCTGACTCCAGCTTCCTGCCACTGTAGATCTTGATTGGGAGGCCGCACTGATGAGTAGTTGGGTTTGCATCCCTCACCCGGGAGACCTGGGTTGATTTACCAGTTAGTGGGGGTGTCTGTCTTTGCCAATCCATCTCTCTGCCATGCAAATAAATAAGCATTTTAAATCCATGCATGGGTTTTTTTTAAATAATATGCATTTTATGTGAAATTTTGAATAAGTGAAAACAACCTTCAAATGTGTAGATTTTGATTTAGAGAGGAATTCCTTGTTTTCCTACCTCCTTAGCCACAGTGGGTCATAAGGACAAGGAAGTTTAAAAGCATTTGAGGAAGAAAACCAGGGAGAAAAATCTTCTGCAATGTGGATGCATTACAATGTTTTCATTAAGAAATGGTTTGTGAAGGTAGACATTGAAGGGCATCCAGGGCCTCTGTGACAATGGAGAGTGCTAATGAAGCGCCCTGGTGGGGACGCCATCGCCCACGCTGGAAGTACCTTGCCTGCTTCTCCCTGAGGGCTCCTTTCCTCAAACTTCGCCTTTGTCCCTTCCAGAGGTGGATATTCTTGTGCATGTTATGTGTATTGTGTTCTTGTTCATTCCCATTTTTATATCATTTGTGAAATGCCCACTTATGCCATTTGCCTCCTCTTTTATAGGTTGTCATTCTTGTGTAGATTTGTCAGTGTTCTTTGTCTATACCAAATACTGCTGCCATTGGTGCTAGTGACATATGGGGCGGTTTCTTTTCTCCCAGTTTGAAGTCGGTTTATACATTTTATAGTGCTCTTTGATAAATCTACCTGAAATACTCTAATTCTGGCCAATATCTCTTAAACGGCTGTTTTACAACCCCCTCATAAATCTCCCTTCCTTTAGCCTCTCATACCTTTCCCATCAGGACTCGTAATTCACTCTAATACATTGAGGCAAATATTAACTTTCAGACATTCACATTTGATAACATCCATTTACCTCAAGTCACTTGAGTGTGATTTCTTCTTTCATACCTCAGAAGGAGCTCTAAGTTCCTTAGTGGTTATTAGAACCCATCACAAATTTCAACTTTGGTGTCTTTCCATGTTGCTGGAATTCTGTGTTGTGAATAAACTACTGATGTTAGTTCCATCATCTTACCTGAATTGTTCCCATTGATTCCTCAGTTTAGGCATTGTCAATCTCTGGGGTTTGTCTTGGTGTCCCTGTAAGACTGCATTAGTTTGGCCTGGTGGTGTGGCCTAGTGGCTTAAGTCCTCAAATTGAACGCCCCGGGATTCAATCCCGGCAGTTCCACTTCCCTACCAGCTCCCTGCTTGTGGCCTGGGAAAGCAGTCGAGGACGGCTGTTGCGCTCACTTGGGGAGTGAATCATCGGATGGAAGTCTTCCTCTCTGTCTCTTCTCCTCTCTGTATATCTGACTTCCCAATAAGTAAATAAATCCTTTTAAAAAAAAAAAAGACTGCGTTAGTTATTAGTCTTGTCTGAACCCCTAATTATGTGTCCTTGTGGTACTTCCCAGTATCATCATAGTCTTTTTAGTGTTCTGCCTCCCATAGATTCCTGAGGTCTCTTGGGAGGGAATTCTTTTTTCTCAGTGTGATTTTTTGCTAGGACCACCCCCTCAGAGTGCCTGGTGCTTAGTGGATGCTAAATAAATGTTTATGGAATAAATAAAGGAGCTGTGGCTTCCCTTCCAATGTGTGACATGCATCAATTTGCTACCCTCCCTGAGACTGTGGAGAAAGAGTTAAAGGAATACTTCAGGGATGTGTGTGTGTGTGTGTGTGTGTGTGTGTGTGTGTGATTGTTGAATCTCTATGTTCATGGATAGCCTTTCTGACCAAGTATAACTGTTGAGAATTGAGGTATAACTTTCATTCCAAAGTTCAGTATCAGAAAATCACTATTTTAGCTCCAATGCTATCTCTAATCATACTATCTTAAAATACCTCATTTTTTCCAGGTGTTAATTTCCATCTCAAAAATAGGGCTTTTCTCTCCTAAAATAAGTTTCAGTTGTATTCTGTCATATTCTGTTGATTTCATTCCACATAATAGTTAAGCCACCTGCACCATAGCTTCAGAACATTACCCTGCAACCCACTTATAAGTATTTCTGTGAGGTCCCATAATACTTAGGAGATCTGATGCTTATAGGCTCACAGCTTTTCTTTCCATTTCATACACCATGTGGATATTTGGCCCTGAGAATAGACTTAGCTAACAGGCCCCAGAGTAGGAGGTTCCCCTTGTTTTACTTTATGATTTTGAGCCCAAAATACTCATTATGTCCAATCTCTGCCTGATGCAGTTAGCCTTATCAGTATTACCTGAAAACAAAGTAAACTATAAAAAGCACCGTAGAAAGCTGGGAAGTGATACAAATAATCATTGGGACACAGCACAGTAGACTAGTGGTTAGGGTCCTCACCTTGCATGCAACAGGAACCCATATGGGCACCAGTTTAGGGGAGCAGAGCTGAGTATCAGCAGTACCTCCTTCCGGGTGATGCAAGTGTGTAGATGGAGGGGTCTGTGCGTGTGTGTTTTCCTCCAGGGAAAACCATGCTGTGTAGTTGGCATATCTGTCTTTAGCATCTTCTCACCCCTCCTGATGGTGAAATGTCAAACCTTGGCAGAGAAGTGAGAGAGCTGCTGCTTTTAGGCAACAGCCCTATTCTTGTGCCTCATTCCATTGCAGGAAAGCACAGAAAGGAGCTGCCTGGTGGACTGGGCGGGGTAGGGAGGGGGTTATTTCCTGGCTTGGACTGATAATCTTGAAAAACAATTCCTGCAGCAGGTCACATGTTCCAAGGTTTGTACTCAAGAGGGTAGGTGTGTGAATTTCAGAGTAGCTAGAATATTCCCAGCACAAAGATTCAGTTAACGGAGAGTTTGGACAGTCATAAAGCCAAGCTGGTGTTACCAGCATTGTTCTAAATTAGACCGTACCAGAGTAGCATCTGCACATATTTGACCCACAGTGAAACCTTATGGGACACATGCATTCCCGGGGTGCACAAGGCCGCTTCTCTAACCTGCCTTTGTTTTCCCACAGGACATCGATGGCCAGGCGCTCCTGCTGCTGACTCTCCCGACGGTGCAGGAGTGCATGGAGCTGAAGTTGGGACCCGCTATCAAACTGTGCCATCAGATCGAAAGAGTTAAAGTAGCTTTCTACGCGCAATATGCCAACTGACTCTCAGTCTAGGAAGGTGGCCCATGACCTGTGTATGGCAGTGTTTGTGAAGGTTTTCAGGACTGAAATTCCCACCACCACCACCCCTCCTAGCCGCCCAGGAGCTGTGAAATGCCACTTAGATACATATCACCAAAAGCCAGGACTTCCTTCATCCACCAGCTTGTTGAATATGTTCATGTTTTTAAAGCACACCGGAGTCCCACCGCAGAAGCTTCTGGAGCAAGTGAATTTGGATTCTGATTTGGACTCAACAGGGATATGGGGAGCTTCATTATATAGCTACATCTTTGCCTTTATCCACCCCAAATCAGGCAGCTTTTTTTACAAGGTTTCCTAAACTGAGCCCCACGTTCTTTGAAAACCAAGGGGACTGCAGGTCACAGCTTTTCTATCATGACCAAGGATACCTTGCTGGTAGTTTTTGCTATCATCATTCTCAGGCACATTTGTAGGTACACCTTTCTTATCAGCACGCGTGTGACTGTAGGTTTGCGCTACATGCTGTCACTGCAATTTGATCTTGTGGCGGCAGCTCCTTTCTTAGACACAACCCAGTGGAGTTTCAGGCTGTCATGGTCCAGAGATGTGCCAAATCTTCATCGTCTGTCGGAGGTGCCTTTCTGGAAGGCTGGGCAGTGAAGGAAGGTTGCTTTTCATTGCCATCACATGATCTGCATGAGTCTTGGGAGCCTAGTACCTGTGGAGAGACAATGCTTTTCACAGTCTTACCTGCAAGCCTGGATGTTTCAACTTTCTAACTTAATTGCTGCGGCGAGTGACTACTTGAGAGACATGTTCAATTACACATAGAAGGGAAAGTTTCATTTCAGAGCACAAGAATGGGAAGAGATTTGGGAACAAGTGGATCACCATAGCAACAGGAAGTCCTTGGCAGCATCCTTCCATTCAGTTTCACTTTGTCCTGCCACATATAATATGGTGGACATGGAGAGGAGGTGAAGGTGCCTGGCATGGAGAGTTGGATCTGCCACCTCTTACCCCATCTTAGCTAATGGCTGACTCTGTGGTCTCTCATTCTGTGAGGAAAAAGTCCAGATGGGCTGAAGTGAGAAAAAGAAGGAAGAAGAGTTAAGGAGTATACAGCAACTGCTCTGCATCTCACCCTGGCTATGAGGTTGCTTTGAAAGGTCTCTTGGGGGTAGTTTTGCGACATCAGCTAAGTCATTTTCAGACAAAATTTGTAGTTCAAGAATTGACTGAACTTCGGCATCAAGCACTTCATCTGGGGATTCTCATGAGTGGCCTCAGTATGCTTGTTGAGATCAAGAGGGACTGCTCGGTTGTGCAACATAGTTGCTCAAATGACTTTGTAAATGCTAAGCAAGCAAAGTTGACTTTGTAAATGCTAAGCAAGCAAAGTAACCTTCTCGCTGTTGAGGAGCAGGTGGGCCCTCAAAGACCACCTTCTGTTGCCCTTGACCATAGTGATCCTGATGGTTTTCTCTGGCTGGAGTCTCCGCAGTTCCTGCCACATGATGTGCTGGCTTGTCCGCTGCTTCTCTCCCTTGGGACATGAAAAGACTTGCTGATTCCTAATCCTCACTTTTCTTAACATGCCACAGTAGCTGCAGATAAGAATAGAAAAGGAGCATTTTGTGATGGAGCCTTTCTAGTGTTCCTGGCAGCTCTATTGTTATTAGTGATTTAGAATGGGCAAGTTTTAGCCATTTGGTGAATGGATCTGCCCGGGGACCTGTGATAGCAAGTTGTTCTGTGTGGCACCTGCCAGTTGATTCATGGTGAGCTCACAATTGAATGCCTGTCTCCTAAGCTACAGTTCTGAGCTCCCCTGGGTTTCCCGCCCCTGCCTTCTCAGCCACTCGCTTTTGGGCCTTGAGAGTCCAGTTTTGTGGCATTGAACTCTGTCAGACAACTGCAAAGGGTATCCATTTCAAGATCTGTGGCATTTTTTTCCCTGCACTGACTCTTTTCATGATCCTTCACTGTGGCCTTTTGAAGCTGAGCTGTTTCTGTTGCATTTGAAACAGAACTGAGGAAAAGTGGTGGCTACAACGTGATGTGGGACTTGCTGAGTGAATGTCACCTCCTCGTGCCTTTTCCCAGAAGTGGCATGGAGGAGGAGGTGCTACCTCAGCCTGGGAAGACCTTCTGAGAATCTCTGCAGTCCACCCAGAGAGTGGGAGGACCACCTGCTGGGAGGCCTAGACTGGGCAGAGCACCATTTCTAGCAGTCACTCTTGCTTCCCAAAGGGCAACGTGCCCATGACCATCGTGACCCTTCGGTTGTAAGGTTTGTGGCTCTGTGAGGTCTGTCACATCAGCTCTTTGTTGAGCTGGTATGGAAGAGGTAGGGGACAAGGAAGCTGGATTGCAGGCAGAAGAGGACCTGGCTCTTTGGAGCTATTGTCATGGCTACCCTCTGCCCATTCCCCAGAGGGAGTCTGAGGTTGGCTGGTGTCCTCCTGAACTTGAATTTCTGGCCAATGCACTCGCAGTAGATAGGTTTCCTCCCCAGCCACAGCCCTATGACGGAAATATCAGGGGTTTGCATGTTTCTGTTGGCTTCATCCCTCACCAGCTCTGTGTCAAAGACAAGGCCACTGCAAGGAGCACCTTGCTGATGGCCAAAAACACGAATTTTTACACCTGTGCTCCAGGACACCCATAGCCCTAAGCCAAACACTTTTTTTGGTCTCAGCACCGACAAGTGCTGCCCTCCATTTGTTTCTCCGGACAGCACCGTTCATTCCTCTCCCATCATACTTTATAATCAGGGTCCTCTTCCTCTGTGCTCTCGGGCTGTGTACGTGCTGCTCATTACCTCCCAAAACTGGCCAAGCAGACACCTGCCATCTGTCCCTTGTATGTCTTCCGAAATACTGAAATGCTCCCTTGTGTTTACTGCTAAGAACCAGTCACTCCTTCCCACCTTCCTCTAGCTCACCGAGCTTGCCTCACCACCCAGTCACTCAACTACGTCCACACTGTGTTGTAAATTAACCTGTCCATGAAAGTGTTAGCACAAACCTGAAAAGAGCAGGCTACTGCTGGCATTCTAGAACTTCTTTGCTTTTCCAAAATAACATCAGCTTCCCTCTTCACCGTGCTCCACTACACGGAGAATTCAGCTGACACTTGCAAGATGAGCTCAACCATTGATTCACATGGTATTTGAACCGTACCACTGTTAGGTTCTTTGATCCTGTTTTGAAGGTGCATTCCCTGGGTTTGCTTTGATTCGATCCTCAACAAAGTAAAATAATGCAAATCTTTGACACTGCCACCTCTGACCCTCACTGTGGTCTCCAAACAGTTGGTTTTGATCAGTCATTTTGAAGACTGGTCTCACTCTACTAATTGATCTTGTGGAATTTAGAGTATTGTGGAAGACGAGTGCCAGATTTGCCTTCTTTTAGCCAGAAACGCCCCCGTACTCCCCACTTCTCAGAGCTCTCCTACCTTGGTTTTAGAAGCACTAGGGATTTTCATACTTACTTTGTAGAGCACCCATTTATATTTATTTCTGTATATAGAACTTAAAACCAGTAGTGTGAGAAATCTTTGTGGTCTGCGCATCATTGCTGCTTCTGGGTGAAGATGGTGAGTCTAGGTTTTAGTTACTCTATAAAATGTCTGTAGAAAGCTGTGATTGAGCATGCAATTATTTGAGAGGAAAAATAGTAAATTAAGATATCTGTAGTTTGTAAGAAGGAATCCTTGGAGAGAGAAAATAACTGCCCTTGTCTTTTTGGTGCAATAATTAAATAGCAGTGGAAAAGTACCAGAGCAACTATATTATGTATAACGATTCTTCTATTTGTTCCCTATTGTTTCCTAAAAATGACTCCATTGAACTTGGTTGAATTAAGTTGCTTTATCTTCATGGCTTTTACTAGTAGAGTAGTTGACAGATAGCTAAAATATACGATACAACTGAATTGTCCCACTTGAACCCACTTGATTTGCTTAAAAACAGCCATTGCTGACACTTGATGCCGCCTAGAGTGTTAGTTAAAAGCCTATCTAGCTTAATGATACATAACATTCAGAGCTTTATTCTTTCCACCTTACTGGTTTTGTTTTAAGTGGCTGGGGCACAGTACCCATGCATATACGAGTCAGGCCACATTACCAAGGTGGAGCAGTGTTCCATGTGCTCCGAAGAGACACGCTAAAGGAAAAGGGACATTCTGGGACTGTCATTTGCAGGAGATCACCTTGTGGTGGAAGCGCTGAGGAAAATTATAAAGTGACAGGAGAAAAATCATCTCACCTGTTGAAAACATGAGATCGCATGAACCGTCCTCTGTTGTGAACCTTGGAAGCCCTGTTGCTGTTTGCATTCTGGTTTGGATAGTTTGTATTGGGATTTGATTCATATCTTGTGTCTGTTTTGGTGCATAAAAGGGAAAAATTGGTGTCTTTGATTTTGAAATTGGCAGGACAAAGGGCATGCTGTTAGTTCGCTGTATGATTGTATTCTGTATATATGTTTTCATGTACATAAATGAAAATCTATATCAGAGTTATATTTTAATTTTTATTCTAAATGAAAAAGCCCTTTTTACTTGAAAACAAATTGTAAGCCACATTGTTAATAAAGTGAAAATAAATTATTTGGTGGTCTTTGTGTTGGATGTTATTAGCTCGAGTTTGCAGTAGGTTTTGTTTTGCTCTTGTACTTTAATATTGGTTGTTACCCTCTACTGCAGAGCATCAGTTTCTAGGTGGTAAATGGTTGTGGCTTTTGGTCTCTGGGTGACTTTTCAATGTCATCTCCCAGCTCTGCAGCTTTCTGCTGGAACACTTGTATTTATTCTTTTTGTTTGTTTGCTTCAAAAACACCATTTACTTAAATACTTGCATAGCTGCCTCTACTCGCCTTCCCATTTTTCAATCCTTTTAGTTGTCCTTCAGTTACTCGACAGCTTTAGTAAGAAGGACTGCTTTGTTTCTATGAGAGATGAAGTACTCTCACCTGCTTTTATTCCTTCCCTGTGTCACTGATCTTACACACTGGAGCTAAAAAGGGAAACAATCCCTTTGCCATCGTACTTCATGGTCGCACTGGCATCTCTCCTGGGTAGAACATGCTTCTTTCCCCTCCTACACGACAAGTAACATTACCGAGAGACAGAGAGAAGGCCAGCGGGGAGAAAAAAATACACAGGTGACAAAGGTGGAGGAATGCTGAACAGTTTATGTCGTCTGCAGTCCCAGACATTATAAAGCATCTTTACTTCAAAGATGAAGATTCTTCTGCAAATTAGTGGAGAAAAAATGGAATTCAATGAGTAGTGTACTTGGGTGCAAAGTTTTAATTCTATGCATTTTTTCATGATCAGCGTTCTTCATTAAGTTTTGGAGAGTCCTTTTATTGCTTTTTTATCCTGCTGACAATAAAATTTTGTGTACAGAAGTTTTGTTTTAGTTTTGGAAACTTTTCCTAACAGCAAACCTTTGATAATGGAATCAAAACTTAATGCCATTTATTTTCACAAAATACACCACAAGTAAAAATTACAAGGTTGCATGACTGAGAAAACATTATCATTATACTGCCATTTGTACTGGAAGTCTTTGGAAAAAAAAAGTTAAAGATCGAATATATAACAGAGTAGAAACTGAGCACCATTATGACATTTAAATTGAATTCAAGAAGTGTGTGTGTGTGTGTGCGCGCACATATGTGTTTTCATATTGCCTCTAAAAACC